CCCAACCCGGCGGTCCAGACGGGTCCGGTGCGGCCGGAAATGGGGGGGGAGGGGTCGTTTTTCGTTTTCAGCCGCCTGGAGGTGCCGAGGGAGGAGTGGGAGAGCGGCCGCAGCTTCGTCTGCACCGTGGTGCACGAGGGGCTCCCGCTGCGCTTCGTGCAGCGCAGCGTTTCCAGAAACCCCGGTAATTAGCTTAATTGGTGTTAATTAACATTAATTAATCGATTAAAGTTCATTTACTTGGTCATATTGGTCTTTTTTTGCGAAAAAATCGCATTTTTTGGGGCTTTTTTGTGCATTTTTGGGGGGGTTTTGATGTGTTTCATTCATGAAAATGACGGGAATTGGGTTAATTAGTGGTAATTAGTCATAATTAGTGGTAATTAGTTAATTAAAGGTCATTACGTCATTGGTTTGGGTCTTTTTTTGCGAAAAAATCGCTTTTTTTTGGGCATTTTTTGGGTCATTTTTGGGTTGGGTTTTGGGACCATTTTGACCTTGAGAACTCCTGTAATTAGTGGCAATTAGGGTAATTAGTGGAAATTAGTTAATATGGCGCCATTAATTAAGAAATAAAAGGGATTTTGGGTCAATAATTGCAAAAAAATCGCGATTTTTGGGAGATTTTGGGGCGATTTTTGGGCATTTTTTGGGGTGGTTTTGGGTCCATTTGGGCCATGAAAGTCTGGGAATTGGGTTCATTAGTGGTAATTAGTGGTAATCAGTTAATTAGGAGCCATTAATGAAGAAATAAAAGGGATTTTGGGATCATTAATCGCAAAAAAATCGCGAATTTTTGGGGCGTTTTTTGGGCGATTTTTGGGTCATTTTTGGGTGATTTTGGATCCATTAATTGGGTTAATTAGGGGTAATTAGCGATAATTAGTGGTCATTAGTTAATTAGGAGGGGATAATTAAGAAATTGGAGGGATTTTGGGTCATTAATTGCAAAAAATCGCGATTTTTTTGGGTGATTTTTTGGGTCTTTTTTGGGTCATTTTTGGGGTATTTTTGACCCATTTTGACCACGAATTTGGGTTAATTAGCGGAAATTAATTAATTAAGAGCGATTAATTAACGGATGGGAGGAGGATGGATGGGACTGGAAAGATCCGGGGTTATTCATAGATTCCATTGTGCCCCATAGATTTCAATTCTGCCCCATAGATTTGAGTTCTGCCCCATAGATTTTGTTCTGCCCCATAGATTTCAATTC